TGTCCCTCCAGGAGCAGCGCTCACCTGCAGGAAGGGGACGAAGTCTTCCTGCACCAGGTAGTTGCAGCCGGGGTTCATGAGCAGGTGCACGAATTTGGCGGCTTCGTCGTGGCAGTTTTGGAGGATCCTGGGGACACGAGGAGGTCTGAGCCACCGTCCTGCCCCAGACGCGGGGGTGGGTGGACAGAGTACAGATGAGCGAGGAGGCTGGGGTGGACAGGAGGCCGGGCCATGGATGCGCACCTGTGAATGACCCAGCTCCAGGGGATGGCTAGTGGGGACGAGGACCCGCGGACCCTGCCCCCTCCGTGCCCTCCCTGGACGGGACTCACTTTCTCCACATGGCCACGAACTTGTGGACGGACACTGAGCCTGTGCGCTCCCCGCCGGCTCCATAGAAGAGAGGCCCCTTCCAGTACAGTGGGCAGCCGCAGGCCTGAGGGACAGAGGGAGCGGTCAGCGGGCCCTGGACACACAGCACACACTTGAGCAGAGAGGGAGGATGCTGCTGCAGACCACGCAGCCCTCGGCCCCCAGGGAGCAGGAGAGCTGCCCTTGTCCTGCCGCAGGGCGACCGCCAGCCCTGGGGGTGGGGGTGGGGGGGTGGCGCTGGCTCTGGTGCTCGGCGCACAGTACCCCACAGCACTCAGCACTTGGTGTCCCTGGAAGGAGCCTGGCTGTGCCCAGGCCCAGAGGCCCAGCAGCACAGGCACAAGAGCCCCACCTTCGGCCGACTGCCCCAACCCACCAAGACCAGCACCCACACACTTCAAACCCGGGGCTGCCACAGGGCCAGCCACGGCAGGGCACAGCACGCTGGGAGCCACCTCAGGCCCAGGTCCCCTCGCAGCCGCAGGAGGCAGCAGGGCCACAGCACGTCCGTCCACAGAGGTCTCCACACGGGCAACCCAGCACCGGGGCATGAGACCAGGGGCCCTGCGCTCTCCCAGGACAAGCAGAACCGCAGGGGCCGGCTGGGCCCCGCAGGGCGCTTGGCCAGTGTGGCGGGGCCCTGGGGCCCACTCTCAGCACCCCGTAAAGATAAGGAAACCAAGAACAAGGTCTCGTGTCCCTGCAACTAAAACGACAGAGCTCACAACCAGAACCACCAGGCCTGGGGCCCGCGCCAGCCATGTGGCCACGGAGCCCACACAGGGTGCCGCGTGTCCAGCAGGCTGGCCTTCGGGGAGCAGGGCTGGCAGACGACCTCTTGCCCAAAGCCGCCTGGGCACAGACCCGCGCCCCGCGGTAGAAAGGCCCCAGGGCCCCGCAGGCCCGAGGCGCTGGACAGCCCCACCAGGCACTGAGGGAGGGCCACGCCAGGCTCCTCCCGTCCCCAGCAGCGAGCCGCGAGGTCCCCGCCTGTGAGAGCGCAGCCACCGCGCCAGGACAAAGGGAAAACACCTCCCCAAACGGCTTCTGCACAGAACGCGGAGCAGGGACCCACGAGGTGGGCGACCCCTCATCCTGGAAAAGGGAGCCGAGGTCGGCAGGGTGCCCCGAGTTCCCGTGCTGACCCCCACCCAGGTGCTGCTGTGGGGGCTCTGGGAGGGCGGAGCTCCCAGGAGCAGCCCCCGAA